CATTAGACAATAGCACACAACACATTAGGCAATAGCACACAACACATTATCACCCCAAATCACAATAGCACATTTTGCTTACCAGACTCAGGCAGCTGCACGCATCGACCTACAGTTCCAATGCCCATGTTCAACTCAACTCACGCGCGGGACGAGCTCTGTACGAAAGGGAGACCACTCACCTACCCTAGAGAGTGAACGGCAAAAGGTGACAAATCGCGTCATAATTAATAGTTATCCTAGCAACAAATCAAACGCTCTATTATTGGTGTTTATCTAATCCCCTCGCAACCCCCAATTTGCTGAGCCCCCCCCCCCCCCCCATGGGCTGAAACATGAGCTCTAGTAACCTGATTGTCCCCAAGATGTTCATATGTCAAACTACCTTTTACATTATGTAATGGTTTTTATGCCCAAAACTTAACATAGAAAACATATAAATATAATAGAACATGCATTTAAATGTCTAATTTTTTTTTTTTTTTTTTTTTTTTTTTTTTTTTTTTTTTTTTTTTTAAATTATTCTCATTGTTTGAAACCAGATCCTTGTTACAATTTGTTGTATTCAAAACTCTCACAAAGTTTTGACTTTTATCTGCTTCTTTCTAAATACGGTGATGTCCATCAGTTATCCTTTACTAAGGACAAGCAGTACAAAATGAAGCAGCTCGTAACAAATGACCAACCGCTCAACCAACTTGAGCATCGGTTTTTATTCATTGACCGTCATGGGCAATAACAGTTTGACAACTTGTCAATCATCCCACGTACAGTCTAATCCAGTGTGGGATCTAGATTTTAAGCTTTTTTTTTTTTTTGGTGGCATCCGTCCGTCACAATGTGACGATGGAGTGGGCTCCGGAGGACGAAATCCACATGGCCTCATGGGATTATTCTTCAAGGATTATAAGCTGGTTCCCAACAGCAAATCGCGTCTCTCCACGCCGCTGGATAGCCCAAAGGGAACATCATTGACATTGAATGATACAGCTTGGCACATGTGACGTCGCAGGAGTTGTCGGAATGTTTCATTGTTCCAATGTTATACGCCTTTCGGGACTCCATCTCCGGGTTTGATTTCAGAGTTTCCTTCTCTTAGATGAGTTGCCATCCACCCGGGGTGCTGGTGGTGTTTTTGCTTGACTAGGCTCTGGCTGGTATTGAGCTCCACACCACCAACCTGAGATTTGCTCAGTTTAGACCACTCGGCCACCCAGCACCCTAAACCCTATATTTTAAGCTATTTTAAGTTTATTCTGGAAATCCCAGGAATGTCCCAATCCCATGATGCCCCAATCTCATGATGTCCCAATCCCATGATGCCCCAATCCCAGGATGAGTAAAAGGTTGTCCCTATTTTCCCGGAATACGCGAGACCCCGAGAAATGACAAACCCTATCAATAGTTGCGAGTCAAGTGATTGACATGCATGGCTGACTGGCGCACCAAATTATTCTTTACTTGTCCTGAAACTGAAGTCATTTATCTTATTTGTAAAATGAAGGAAAACAACAGCCAGACGCTTACAGATAACTTAAGGGAGTGCCGTGTGAAGAGCTGGGGCGTCGTCCTATGGGGGGCTGGGGCGCCGTCTTATCTGGGGGGGGGGGGGGC